GTATGATGAATGAAAGTATCTTCATTGTTAGTATATATTTACAACTTTTAATGGATGTTCTTGGCCCGACAGTATGCACACTCAATACGAACTGCGCAAAGTAAGAGGTTACGTTCACTTTCAGTTAAATCAGATATTTTTATTTTTTGAACTCTTTATATATTATTGATCAGGCTTTAGGATAATTATTATAATACCTATCACCCAAAAATAGCACTTTTTAAATAATAAATCCCACAATCAGCGGTAATTGAAAATTCTTTAACAGCATCTTTTCAGTCATTATAATGAACGTTCTGTTTATTATTGTAACCCTCTATATTTAGTAAAAAGATTGCAATACCCATTTATTATTAAAGCAATTTTCAAGAAAACATATACAAATTTTATAAACCATTAAAAACTGTTGGAAAAAAATATGAGAATGGAATTTAACAAAAGAATAATTTCCTTTTTTCCCCATCAAATCTTGATAAATAAAGACCTAATTTTGTTTCAATAATATTTAATTTTCCTTCAATATCATTTAATTTTTTTTCACTACCAAAAGCTTTATCCTCAGTATTAAAAACTTTATCTTCAATGTTCGTAACTGTATCTTTGGGTTCGATATGTTCAACTGGAAAATATCGAAATATATGGTGAACAACTCCCCATGGTGCATATCTACCTTTACCCGCTAAAAGTACATAAGCTGTAAATAATGAACTTATTAATGTAATAGTATTTCTGAAAAGTCCATTTAAATTAAATGGTTTAACATCTCTAACTATAATAACATCAAATGAAACTAAAAATTGTTTTAAATGAATTAGTAAAAATTAATTAATCAGTCAATTATTAATAATTTAATCAATTAAAAAACTTACCAGCTCTAATAGTAATTTTATTTGTTGAACTAGCGGTGCTTGGTTGAATCTCTTGGAATTCATCAATAATATTATATTTTACATCATTTGTTACTTTTTTGTTTATATCAACATTTTGAGTTCTGCTGAAATGTATTGCTCTATTAATATCAGGATCTAACTTTAAAAATCTATTATACCGAAACAATGAATCTATTTCCAATGGATCAAAAACATTAATCAGTACTGGAGTTTTAACTTGTGGTCCTGGTGTATCAAAAGTTCTTGTATATGTGAATACCATATCTTCTACATTTTGGTTTGTTGGATTTTCTTGTATAACTGCAGTATTTGATGGTGATTTCATGATCTAGAGAAATCGATAATAATAAAATTTTAAAAATCCTACAATAATAAGAAAAAAAAGACCCCAATAAATTAATATATTACTATATTACGTACCCAACATCTTGCAACATTAAGTCCAGAATAAGCCAACTCTGGTGAAGAAGGGTCATATGATTTTAAATAATAATCATTACTTGTTGTAACCCCTTGAACTGTGATGTTGAAACTGTAAGCTACATCTTTTGTTATACAAAAAGTTAAAGCTGGAGGAACTAATGAATCTCTCGATTCAACTTTAATCTCCTGAGTGATAACATTTAACTCCCTTATTTCAACTTGTAAATCGTAGGCAAGATATCCTAAGAATATAAAAATTGATATATAAATCACCGCATTAATAAATATTGGTTGACTTGCCATTTTTAAAATTTTTTTTTTTTAACTGAAAGAAAATGAATTAGAAAATGAATTAAAAAAAAAAATCATCCCAATTGTTATTATATTTATATTAATAGTAAAAACAATTACACACAGTTGAAGTATTTACAAAATGTAATTTTACGTTACATTACCCGGTTACATTTGTAAAATGCCTAATTTTTTGCATCTTCCATATTCAGTTATATAGGTGTTTCATATGCGTAAAAAATTTAATAATTCCACAAATAGGGGTTTTTTATTATCAATTTTAAAGTAAAATAAACCATTAGATTATATCATGTCGTGTTTCATAAATCTTGAATCTTCGTATTTATTGATAGATAATTCATCATATAAAATTCGCGTGTAATAGTACGATTTAGATAATTCCCAAGTTGATCATCGGAAGCAGTAACTTTAGCAATGATTGTTTTAAAAGCCTCGGTGTTTTGTGGGTAGATGGGCTGGCCCCCTTATTGTTTTAAACAAATTATTTCTTTTATTTGTAACATTAATGTACTTGTGATATAATTACAATAATCTTAGTGCAACAATAAAAAACACAACGATTAACATTTTTTATATCAAAAAAAGAAAAAAAGACAACAACTGTCGTACCGATTTTGATTTCTTTTTTTATCATTATTATCACTCCCTTAATATTAAACGGGTTTTCGGCTATTGATAGCCGAAATTTTTTTTCTGTTATAGGAATCACTTCCTAAATACGAAAATGATTGATCTGTCTGTGAATAAAAATTCGGTTGTTGTCCTTCCTTAAAAGTTGGTCGATTGACCATTTTTACTTTGCAGATCGTTAAATTGGCCAATAATAATGCAAGATCGTGATCGAAAAATTATTTTATGTTACAATTAAAGAATACTTTGACCATTTAAGAGATAAATTAGTATAATAAAGATAACTTATATTTTTACAATAATTAAAGTATCAGTTCGAAAAAACATTAATTTTTTCTTTCTGAAAAGTAACTCTTTACAATTTCAATGGTTAGTTAATTGTTGACCTACTTTATTGTTGTCCAATATGCATAAACATTCAAGATTTTTATAATTTCGTTTGTCCTATTGATTTAATTACCTCTTCCAAATAATCGAGTCATTTGGGTTGCCTCCAATATCCAAAGAGTCGAGATTTACTTACCTACCCATTGTCTTTAGATTATAATTCGTTGAAACGAGAGTTGAGTGTATTTAATTACAAATGAAAGAAAATGTAATGACAATGAAAATAATATATGTTTGTATTTATTTAATTGGTAAAATGGAGTTGGCCATAAATCAGTGAATAAAGGTTCGTCTTGATATATAGGAGTGCGTTTAATTTTTCTCATAGAAAGGGCTAAAAATTCAATGTTAAATCAATAACGTTTTGACTTGTTTATTTAAGTTTTGATGTCATCGAAACGTTTCAACATCCCTAATTAAGATTTTGACGCTTTGAAAAATCCCCAAATAGATTTTACCCGGCAACTTTACGTGTGCCGTATTATTTATAAATAATTAGTTAGTCAAGTCAAAAAGGTCGGAAATCGTGTAATTAAAAAAATATTTTCATATTAATATAATAATAGCAATGGTTTTAAATTTATAGCTAATTTGAGTGAATTTTTTATTTTCACAACAAAAATTTTTTGATCTGATCACGTGTGTTGTGTTTTCCAAAATAGTAAAGATCATCTGGTGTCATTATTACTACAAAAATTTTGATCCAGCTTGCGGCAGTAACCTATCTATGAAGTTCGCGGGTCCTATATATATCTCCTCCCCTTTTAAAAAATTCATCTATTATTTTATGGTAAATAAGAAAAAACAGAGAAAGCTGCATGTAATTAAATCAAATCTCCCTCAAAGAATGAGTTTATCAGAAAGACATTTTGATTATTGGCTCTTTTGTTTTTATTTTTTCAATCACAAAGCTTGTTAATAAATACTTAACACATGTAATAATAACTATAAAACTTTAGAAGAGAAGAATTCAGCTAATGGTAAATTTGATCATAACACGAGTAATAAAAATAACAATGATAACAATGGTATTGATGATATCAAGTGTTTACAATTTCTATTGGAAGAACCGAGTTCTTTAATAAGCTTAGCATTTGATTGTAAAAGAAAATTGAACGAGGGCTTAACAACTCTTAATAATTAACTTTTAAAAATATTCCTGGGATAACCAACAAGTATTCTTTTGTATTTACATAGTCAACCATAAAGAATCTGTATTTACATGTATTTATTGTTAAGCTTTAATAAATTTATTATTTGAACTTATGTCTTTTGCCAAATCAAGCAAAGGTTTGTATAGTTTCACATATATATATATATATATATTAAAAAAAAATCTTTTAATGATTGAATTTAATATTAAAAATAGGTGATGCCTTTGAATATGTGTAATTATTGACAAATCTAGTTGATAATTGGTTATTCATTTTGTGGTCATCACCAAAATTAATAACAGAATTTTTCATTTGATGATGTTATCATCACGAATGCACTTGACGACATTATATCTATATGCCAGGGTTGGCAATGGATCAGGTCCGTTGAAGCTGATGTAATTTGATCTGTATATAGAATACTAAATATGAGTTAATATGGAGTGCCAATAGGTCTAATGGACTGACCAATGAACCGTCAATTCCCACCCCTCCATATGCAAGGATAATAGAAAATTTGTAGATGAAATTATTTAAAATGCCAAGTTGAATGGGTAATAAGAATGAAATAGTAAATTGATTTTTAATTAAAAATATAAAAATACATAATAAATTAAACTTGATTAATCCATTCAATATTTAATTTATAAAAATTACTCCATAATTTTGCAAGATTAAAAAATCTCAACACTTTTAATTTATCATTACCCATCAATGAGGTATGTTCCCAACTTTTTGTCTTGTCTTTGCCAGAAATTACCAATAAATGTCATTACAATAACACAAATAAATTATATATACTTTAAACAATTCATTAATTTCAGATTCTATATCATTACCACCAGATAGTTTTTGATTCTTTATCCTATTGTAAAAAAGATAAAATTAAAAATTCGGGTATTTAAGAATGTGACTTACTTGCAACATTGCCATTAGATACAGGGATAGTAGTGGCGGAACTTGAAGGACACAAAGATCTATCTATTTATTTTGTTATATATTTTTATGTTTTCACTTGTCAAGTATTTTCTATGTTATAAAATTTTAGATTCAATAGACGCGAAAATGTAGATTAATTTGGAAAATTTTTGTGCTCCGAGATTTTAAGATTAACAAATATATAAAAATTTTTTTTATCATATATAACGAACGACAACAATAATTAAAAGGCTTCTCAAAAGGCTTTTTCTTTTCTTTTACCACAATGTCATTTCTTCAACGTTCAGTGTCTAGGCTAATACGTAGTAATAGTAATACTCATAAGACAATTAATAGAAGTACAACAAACTTTTATAGAAATAGTTTTTTAAGAACTACAACATCAACTCACATTCCCTCTATCTTTTATTGTATGTGAAAAAAAAAAATATTGATCTTTATAAAAAATATCAAAACGAATGAATGAATAAATAAATATTTGTTTTTATTAGGTCGTAATTATGCTACCGAGTCAAGTAATAATGCTGGCACAATTCAAGCTGTGATTGGTGCTGTTGTTGATGTGCAGTTCGAGGAGAAAAGTCTACCACCAATTTTAAATTCGTTGGAAGTACAAAAACCAGATGGTAATCGTCTTGTTCTTGAAGTGGCTCAACATCTTGGTCAAAATGTTGTCAGAACAATAGCTATGGATGGTACAGAAGGTAATAATCAATCAATCAATTGATGTGTGTGAATGGACGGATGGACGAATTTATGAATTAATCGATGGATTGATGAATTAATAGTTGGCTAATTCATCTTTTTATCATCAATCATCATTTATCGTTTAATTAAAATTAATTAATTATTATTATCTTCGATTATTCTTATTAATTAATTTACAAATTAATCATTTGGTTATCTAACAGGTCTTGTACGTGGTCAAAAAGTTTTAGACACGGGTTCACCAATTAAAATTCCTGTAGGACCTGAATGTCTAGGACGTATTATTAATGTTATTGGAGAACCAATTGATGAACGAGGTCCAATTAAAACAAAAAAAACTGCTGCTATTCATGCAGATGCACCAGAATTTGTAGATCAATCGACAGCTCCTGAGATTCTTGAAACTGGTATTAAAGTTGTAGACTTGTTGGCTCCTTATGCTAGAGGTGGAAAAATTGGATTGTTTGGTGGTGCCGGTGTAGGTAAAACTGTGTTGATTCAGGAATTGATTAATAACATTGCAAAAGCTCATGGTGGTTATTCAGTATTTTGTGGTGTTGGTGAGAGAACACGTGAGGGAAATGATTTGTATCATGAAATGATACAAACTGGTGTAATTAAACTTGATGGTGAATCAAAAGCTGCATTAGTTTTTGGTCAAATGAATGAACCACCAGGAGCTAGAGCTCGTGTTGCATTAACTGGTGTCACTATTGCAGAATATTTCCGTGATGATGAGGGTCAAGATGTGTTACTTTTTGTTGATAATATTTTCCGATTCACTCAAGCCGGTTCCGAAGTATCTGCCTTGTTGGGTCGTATTCCCTCAGCTGTAGGTTATCAACCTACTTTAAGGTAAGTTTGATTCTAGATGCTGATAATTTGATTGTTTTTTTTTTTTTTCACTAAATAATAATAATAATATTTTTGATTTTATAAAAATAAATCAATGAATTCTTAATTAGTACTGGTAATTCATTACACATTCATATTCATATTTATATTTTTTTTATGAATTTTATATCATTACTTTAATATTTTTATTAGTATTAAAAATTTTTTAATTAAAAAGATATGGGTGGTATGCAGGAAAGAATTACAACAACAAAGAAAGGATCTATTACCTCTGTACAAGCTGTGTATGTACCTGCTGATGATTTAACAGATCCAGCCCCAGCCACTACTTTCAGGTAAAACTATAATAACAATAATAAAATTAATATATTACTAACTACAATATAATTTTATATTCATGGATAATAATAATAATAATATAAATTCAAATTTTTATTTAGTCATTTGGATGCAACTACTGTATTATCACGTTCCATTGCCGAATTAGGTATTTATCCAGCCGTGGATCCACTTGATTCAAAATCACGTCTATTGGATCCTAGAGTGGTAGGTGAAGAACATTATAGGGTGGCCACAGATGTACAAAAAATACTCCAAGATTATAAATCTTTACAAGATATTATCGCAATTTTGGGTATGGACGAATTATCAGAAGAAGATAAGGCAAGTGTTTTACATGTGTAAGATGATTTTTTTTTGTTGGAATGATTTTAAGTGATTATTTATCTGTTTATATTGAATATTTAGCAAACTGTTGAACGTGCAAGAAAAATTCAAAGATTTTTGGTAAGTAGATAATAATTTACAAATCAATAATATATACATTGATTATTATAATATTATATATATACAATTGTAGAGTCAACCATTTGCTGTTGCACAAGTTTTTACCGGTTATGAAGGACGTCTTGTTAAATTAAAAGATACCATTCGCTCATTCAAAGAAATTTTGGAAGGAAAATGCGATGATTTACCAGAAGCTGCGTTTTATATGGTCGGTGATATTGATGATGCAAGGAAGAAGGGAGAAGGTAAATTTATTTAAAAAAATAATGGTTTTGTTGATTGAGATTCTAATCACATTTTCTTTTAATAAATAGATATTGCAAGAGAAATGGCCAATCAATAAATGCTAATTAATTATACAACATATATAATATATATATAAATATCTTAATATACAATAAATTATTATTTCTTTTTTAATAATATGGGTAATTTGCTGCGTTTCGTGTCTCATAAATACTTCAGTTTGTCCAACATCCCCATGATGTTTGCCGTAGTCGAGAATTGCCAAATTATTTACTATATTTATTTTATTCAAATCTTAAAATTCAACTGAATAATTAATTTTTACGTTAATAAAGATAAAATATAATTGCTGTTTAAACCAATTACAAACATTGCACCTTTAAGACATTAAAATCAATCACTTGATAAAGTCAATCCATTTATTTTAAGTGGGAAATGAATAAACTACAAAAACATATCAATCAATAATTTTTAAACTATGATATTAATATTATTTTTGTTGTGCGAGAATTTGGATTCTGCGTCAATTTGAAAATTCAAATTAGCCAATCAGAATTTTGTATTCAAACACCCACCCAAAATTTAGTGGTCGATCGTGCTACATCTTGGAAATTATCCAATCAAATTTGAATGTTACTAATGTTCTCTAGTAACACGCGAAATTTATTATTATATACTGGCTGGTCCGTGGCATATATATATGGAGCGAGCGCAATAGATATTTGCACTATCTTTTGTATTAGTAAGTCCGCGGGTGTTCAGAACTGCTAGATTTGACTTGTATTGAATCAAATGATCCGATAGCATCTGAGATTTTGGATTTCGCTGAATGGGTGGATGGGATGGCTGATAGGTTGCCAGTGGGAACGAAACAATTGCTTGGAGAAGTTGAATTAAGTGAGCGAGCCGGGAGCTTCGGAGAGAACGAATGCCACGTTAATTGAATTTTCTAACACATACAACTTATTGGGACACGATTTTGACCCGGTCCTTGTCAACCCCCCATTACTTTTCCGCGAGATGGAAATGATTCAAGTGCTCGTAGAATTTTACTAACGACATTCGACTTGTTGGAAGGATTGAAAGTGGAATAATATCATTAATCATACTTGCGTTGCCTCAGTTAAAATTATTCATCGCTTAATTTGTAGGAGAAATTGTTGGAGTTTGAGACCATTGCTAGGCGAAAGCGAGTATATTGAAAGCTCTTATGTGATTCGTGCAATCTACTTAATTACAACAAGTTGAATCTCAAACGCGCATGGTGGCCTTTTTATATAACAGTATAACAACCAATTTATATTTTTTAGGGAAAAAATGGCCGAATCATCTCAAACTCGAAGGAGGCAATGCAGCAGGTTCTTCTGATGCTTGACTCGGTTAAGTGAGAGTCATCCTTTTACCGAGATTTCTCGATTAGTCACTCACACAGACAAGCAAGGATCTGATTGGAGAAAAAAATAAATCGTCTATGCAAGGATAGGATCGATGCCAGATTTAACAAATTGTTCTCCCTTTATTTATATAGGGATTCAAATGAAACATTTGATAATGAAATTGAATATTCGCTGAAGAAATTTCAAATGCAGAAAGAGATGAAACTAGTGATGATGATCTATCAATCAATTATCATTTACTGCTACATTAGGAGCATAAGTATATATTAACCATTGACAACTTGTAAATAAATGATGAAATAATAACAGAGGAAGAAACAATTGCCTCTTTTAATCTAACTGAAGAGGAAGAATTGTTGAGAGTAATACTACACCTAAAGTTTCGCCATTGAGACAGCTTTTTATTCCTTCAACAAGGTGATATAAAAATAAATTATAAAGAATTCAAATCATTGAAAGACTAATACAGCCAAATATTTCAATAGATAATTTTATTTCCACATGTATCTATTTATCATTATTTTTTTAAAACTTTTATATTTTTTTGCTGGTCCCATGTATCCGCCGTGACAAGGTTTGACTGTATACCAGAAATTATTTGATACAGCATCTTTGAAGGGTATATATGTTGATGTTTAAATATAAATCCTCCTTCAATAATATCATGCAAAGAGGTTTTACAAAGTTCAAATGCAATGTGTAAGATATTATTACCATCAACAACAACATCATCAGCTTGTTGATATTTCCGTTTTTTTTCCGCAATAAGTTTTCACATTTTTTTACATGTCTTGGTGAAAATTTATAACTGGAAACAAAAGATTGGATGTTTGAGGTTATTGCTTTAAAACCCTTCATCAGCTTCTTTAATATTGTTTTTGTGGTAAGAATATAGTTGTCATTTGCTTTATCACCATCATAATTGTTTTTATGCAAGTTTATATTACTTTTCTTTTCTCCCTACTTCAGAACTAATAAATAAATCAAAATATTATGGTTAGTCAGCAGGTTAGTAATCAAAAATTTTTTGTGAGCATGTAATATAACGCAATGACAACATTAATTAATTACGTTTTATAGAGGAATAGTCTTATGTATAAGCAGAAAGAAAGATAAAGAACTTTAATATCATGATCGCAGTATAGTTGTGTGACTAAAGATTTTTTTTGATTGTAATGTTTAATGTTCACTACCCCATATGATATGTAAATGTATTATAAAATAAAATAAAGAAAACATAATAATACTAATTTAGAAAATGATTACTATTACTACTACTAATAAGATATATATTCAATGTTCGTTGTATATAATCATTTCTAAAATAAAATAGAAAACGAAAACGATTTCAAATCAAATACATTAATTAATTAATTATAAAAACTTGATTTCATCATTATTTTTCTTTGATGTTATTGATTACCATGGAGTAGAATTTGGATCCCAAGAGGATTCAGTTACTGTTGTTGATGTATCCCAAGGGGATTCAGTTACAGTTGTTGATGTATCATTGGCATTAGAATCCCACATTGGCTTTATTTTGTCTTGTGTGATTTGTGGATTGTCCCATGTACTGCTACTGTTATTATCACTTGATGATGCGGTATTTCGTTGAGCCTCCCAATCTCCTGATGAATCATTATTGCTGTATCTGTTATTTTGATTCCTGTAGCCCCCACTACCACCATTTGTATTCTTGTCAGGATTGCTATATCATTATTAAATAAATATGTCTGTTATAGAATAACAATTATTATAATTTGATTATTTATATTTATATGTTAATTACTCACATATTAATGTGCGAATATGGTTGTAGAAAACTGGGAATCTCTTGTTTACATTCCAACAATAATTTAACTAAATCACCGGCAAGTTCAGATCTTTTTTCATTATAAAAAGTTGTTGCCAATCCCTCATTACCAACTCGAGCCGTTCTAGATAAAATTTAACCACATGTATATAAATACATAAATACATAAATATATATGTTTATATGATTAAATAAATACAAACCTTCCAATTCGGTGAACATATTCATCAATGTCATTACATAAATCATAATTTACGACATGCATTACATTTTTTATATCAAGACCACGAGCTGCAACAGCTGTAGCAATTAAAATGGGTGATCGACCATTTCTATTATTTAGTTATGATAATTATGATTAAAATTTAGATATAAAAACCAAAAATAAGAAACAAATTAATTATTAATTAATTAATTATCAAATCTTTACTTGAATGCTATTAATGCATCTTCTCTTTCACGTTGTGATCTATCTCCATGAATACTAGTAGTAGGAAAATTTTGATGATATAAGAAATCATCAAGTGAATCTGCACCACGTTTTGTTTCAACAAAAATCAAAGTACGAGATGGTGGCTGTTTTAAAAGTAGTTCAACAAGTGCTGTACGTTTATCGTTTTCTTCGACATACATTATCTATCATAAAGAATAATAATTAATGATTATTTTTGAGAAATGGAATTTTGAATGATATTAATGATGAAGATATAATAATAATAATAGATAAACAAATATTTAATCAATGGTTACCTTTTGAGTGATATCACTTGTTGTACCACCAACACGACCAACTGTGAGGAATATGTGATCTTCTTTCAAGAAATCACGAGCAAGGGTTCGAATATTTGTTGGAAAAGTGGCTGAAAACATCATTGTTTGTCTTGAGCCATCATTGGGAAGATCTAAATAAAAAAAAATACATAAGAAAATAATATTTTGGTGTGCGTGTGTGGTAATCAAAGTACTTAAAACAATTGATTTATTGATTTATTGATTGATCAAGTAATTAATTACCAGATTGTTGAACAATTTTACGAATGTCTGCTTCAAAACCCATATCCAACATACGATCAGCCTCATCAAGTACAAGATACCTATGAAATGTAAATAAAGAATTTTATTAAAATGATTTACTTGCTTAAATAAAAAATAAAAAATTATTCGTTACTCACCTAACTTTACGAAGACTCAAAACACCACGTTCCATAAAATCCTTTAATCTACCAGGCGTGGCGGTTAATATATCACAACCTTTAGAAACTTCAGTTTTTTGAGATAAAGCATCTGCACCCCCATAAACTACACTGAATAGCAATAATAGTAAAATGATGATAATCATCATCATCACGATCATATAAGTACATACATACATACATACACATGGATAATGTTTAAATTTTTTTGAGAGGGAGGAAAAGAGAAAAATCACAAACCAAGGCCTCATCATACTCCTATAAGTAAACCGACGACACTCATCAAATATTTGTGTGGCCAATTCACGTGTAGGTGCCATTATTAGTACTAAAGGTTCAGCTTTAAATCTACGTGAATTTCCAATTTCTCTGGGGGGTTTTTTAGTTGCAAATACTTGTGATAATACTGGAATCAGAAATGCAGCGGTTTTACCAGAACCTATTCATTTAATATAGATTATTTGTTATTGTAATTTGTTTGGCAAGAAAAAAATTAATCTCTTGACAAATTATATAAATAAATACCAGTTTGTGCACAAGCCATTAGATCCATTCCATTAGTAATTATTGGAATAGAATATTTCTTTTTGGGAAAAAAATTTTTATCAAGCAATTATCTCCAAGACTTTTTTTTTAATTTTTTTTTTTTAATTATTGATAACAAAATAAATTTATACCTGAACTGGAGTTGGCATAGTGTATCTAGCCAATTGAACATTTTCCTTCATCGCTTGATGAAGTTTTGCTTCTTCAAACTACAATAAATGAACGAGTAAATTGATGAATGAATAAATAATAATTAATTAATTAATTACAAAAATTTTTAAAAGAAAAATAATTACCGTGCTAATAGGTTTAACGGTCGGATTACTGACTGTCACCTTAATCTTGTCATATTTTGAAAAATTAATACCAGTATGAATATGATTTTCTTCATCAAAAAGCTCCTTTTCCAACTCCTCATCTTTAGGAGCTATAGTTTCATTATATGATTCGTGCCATTCGTAACGTCTACGGACTGCTGCCCATTGACGGTTTGGATCTAGAGTTGGTTCGGATCTAGGACCCCATTGCCCTGCGCATTGATCATCATCAGTAGACATTTTTATCTCAAGTTTTTACTTTTTTTTTTTTTCTAATATAAATATTATTAATAGTAAAAAAAAATTTTTTTAAACAAATAAATACAAGCATATAAATATATATTGTATTTGACATTATGTAAACTCTAAATATTAGGAGCAATCAAGTAGATAATTGCCACAAGATCTTTAAAAATGCAGGCATTTTTAAATAAACAGTTTAGAAACAATTTATTCATAATAATAATGTTATATAGTAGTAGTAACGTTACCTTATAAGTGGAATATACAAGTCTTATAGGATTAAAATAAAAGTGGGAAAATAAAAGAACAAGCAAATAAAATCTAAAAATCTATTACTATCGTGTGACCTGGATCAATAAAATAGACCAATTTTGGGACACGCGATTTTAAATTAAAAAAATCACGTGTACTTTTAAATAAAAATGAAATATATAGTATGAAGGTTAGATTTTATCGTGACATATCAAATATCAATATCGGGTCATGCATGGTGTTTCTAGGCCCAGTCTAAACTTGAACAAAGTCAAGCTCACATAAATTCGGTTCAAGCACATGTTTCCCAGTTATAAAATTCGACTAATTAAAAAACCTGCAGTAATTTTTCAAGTTTGGTCGGCATTGCCAATTCCTCCAAATTAGATTTTTAAATATACACAACAATAGCTGTATTTACGCATGGCTGGAGATAAAATACTATTACTATGAAATCAAAAGGTTTGGAACAACCTTCGGGTCATATAATGAATGATATTAATAATGATATTTCGAATTACAGCATCAGCGCTAGATACAACGGTGATGCAAGCAGATATAACAAACCTCCGCTATATCGTGATATAAGTGAACATTGTCAAAGGGGTATAAAACTTATATTCACCACTATGTTCAAATTCATACTTTAGGGAAAAAATTTTTAATGCTTTAAATAAAAAAAAGAAAAAGGTAATAAATAAAATGTTCTTTACAAATTTTTTGGAGAAATGATAGTTTGAACCCTAAGTGTAATAAATAAATAAACATGCTGTGGTGGCAAAATCACTAGCAACAGCACCTTTACATCAAAATGATAATCACAATAAAAACATTGTTAATAAAATGCTTACAATAAAAAGAAAACCAATTATTATTGTGGCTCATCGAATTGCGCCTTTTCATACAATTTCGCTATTTTTCCTTCCATTACAGCCATTGATTTTTGCATCTCTCTGATTATTCTATCCTTTTCATTTTCATCTATTCCTCTATTTTGTTGCTTTTCTTTATCTTCATCTGGCTTTTCATCTTCGTCAATTCTTTGCTTTTTTTCATCCTTCTTTAGCGCTCGATCTATTGCTTGGCGCAGGACATATTGAGTTGATGTTGTTGAAGTAGCCAGAAAGTCGCCAGGTGCTGCTTTCTCCTCCATAAAGAAGGACACATTTCTTGTTAAAGAGAGAACCAGTATAAATACGCATGCTTTGACAAAGTAAAAAGCGATTGGCCATTTTAACACAATAAATAATGTTTGCAGAATATTCGGGAGATAAAACCATCCAGGAACAAATAATATCCAAAAAATCTTCGTATCAGTTACTTTATCTGATCTCTCTGAGTCAGAAAACGGAAGACAAAATAGTATAAAATAAATGAATGCTGTAACTGACAATATCCCAAATGATGTAAGGAATACTATACTAATTGGATCAAAAAGATTTCTAGTTGTAATAACAACAATCCAGAATGTTGGAATTACTATCGCTGGGATAAATATCAGGAATATCCAGATAAATGTAAAAGTATCAGGTTCCTCTTCAACTTTTTTAACCCTTTCATTCTTAAATAACGCTACTGCTGCGCAAGCTACATGCAAACCCATGTTCACAAATGAAAATATCTTGATGCTCAGCAAATCATCATAGGCCAAAGAGACTACCAGCGGAATCACCCAAGTGACAGTGTTGTATAATAAGTCATCCAGTACTGGCAACATCACATTTTTGATGGGTCCAGTTTTCCCTGAAACATTGAATAGAAGAACAAAAAATACTGGAAAGAACGTGTTAATAATTGCATCGTACACGTCCTGTCCAGATTCATAATTTTCATCAATGATAGATGCTGTCGCAAGCGGAATGAATGAAAACAAAGTCAAGATTACTTTCTTGCTTTGGTTTAATAGAAATCCTTTGTTCATATCGAAT